TGGTTGGTTGGTTTTTCGAGGCAGGGTTTCCCTGTAGTTTTGGAGCCTGTCCTGGAACTTTATGTAGACCAGGCTGACCTTGAACTCAAAGAGATCCACCTGCCTCTGTCTGAGTGCTGGGGTTAAAGGTGTGCGCCACCACAGCCTGGCATCTGAGTTTTTATTATGCTTCAGACAACCACTGGACACAATGATGTGTCCCAGTCTACAGCCCCCAGGACATCTGAGCTGGACATGATTTTTTGCTGTGATTTGTTATTTTGAGACAAGGTTTTACTATGTAGCCTTAGCTCAGGCTGGCCTGGAACTCTATAGAGACCAGGCTGGCTCCAAATCAGAGATCCTCCTGCCTCTACCTCTTGAGTGATGGGATTAAAAAATGTATCCCTCCACACATGATTTTTAAATAAATTCATGACTTTGTGGTGGGTTATATTATATCCATGGTTACTGTGGGGCCCACCTAGGTCACTGCCCACACAAGTCTGGGAGACACACACACACAAATACAAAGAAGAGAGAGAGAGAGAGAGAGAGAGAGAGAGAGAGAGAGAATATCAAGCCAGCGCCTCTCAGCACTTGCGAGGCTGAGACAGACCATTGAGTTCAAGGCCAACTAGGCTACAGAATTCCAGGTCACAAAACCAAGTCAGGTCTCCTAGCACACACATTTAGGGGGTACAGGTGGAGGGATGAGTTTGAGCTTGGGCTTCATGGAATCTTGTCTCAATTTCATCTCTCTCCTCCCAGAAAAAAGCAATCAGTCCCTTAGTGCACACCTGGCATCAGACTCTCAGCAGGTATCATTTATAATAACCCCAGCGGCAAGCCATTTCCTCATCAGAGCAACAATGGTTGTCCTACATGCAGGGGCCTCATCCAACCCAGGGAGGGAGCAACCCATCCCACACCGACCTGGGGTAGCGGCATTCAATGGGCACCTCCGCTTGGTTAGTCCTCAGGATGGACAGGCCGCCCACAGGGCGGGGATCGTGCATCAGGAAGGTTTTGTAGACCAGGGCATCTTCTGTCACCTGAGGCAAAGTTGTAAGGCTTTTTTTGAGACAGTATTTCTGTGTAGCCCTGGCTGTCGTGGAGCTCGCTCTGTAGACCAGGCTGGCCTCAAACTCTCTAGAGATCCCTGCCTGCCTCTGCCTCCAGAGTGCTGGGGTTAAAGGTGTGTGCTACCACCGCCCGGCTGCAAAATTGTAATGTTAACCAGATCCAAACCATACACCCTGGGAATGCTTGCTTGGCCCTTGGCCTATGGGAAGTTAAGGAATCCAACCTAGGAAGGCAGACAGACAAAGCTCAGTTCGACCTGCCCTCTGCTGGCCAGTAAAGAGAGCTGGGCCGGAGAGAGAGCTCAGTCCTTAGGAGCATTTGGGTTCAATTCCCAATACTCACATGGCAGGTCACAACTGTCCATAACACCAGTTCCAGGGGCTGCAACCACCCTTTATGATGTACATACAAGCAAAACACCCACACATAAAAATTAAGTGAAAAAAAAATGTAAAGGTGGTGGCTCAAGCCTTTAATTCCAGCACTTGGGAGGCAGAGGCAGGTGGATCTCTACGAGTTTGAGGCCAGCTGGGCTACAGAGCGAGTTCTGAGACAGGCTCCAAAGCTACAGAGAAACCCTGTCTCCAAAAAAAAAAGAAAGTTGAACAGCCGTTTCTATAGTTTTGATAGATGAGACCAAGTTGGCCTCAAACTCTTGATCCTCCTGCCTCAGCCTCTCAAAAGATAGGATTACTTGAATTACAAACCAAGTTTGATTCCACCAAAGCCTATGTAGGACACCTATGAGTTTGGGGGGGGGGTAATGTACTAAACATGGGTGACCCCAGAGCAGCTGCACTGCTGGAAAATTCCCCCGGCATGGATGATGACTTTCCTGTTGCTGTGTGGAATTGCCCCTCCACCTGTCACATACCCTTTGGCACGTTCCTAGACCCTATGCCATGAAGGCAGAATTAGACACAGCTAGCTGGAAGGTGTGGGAGGAAGCGATTGAGATCAGGTGAGGAACTAACCTGGGTACGGGCGGGCGTGGCTTTCCAAGGTCAGCCTGCACCTGTCTCCAGGTTCAGCCTCATCCACTTGGTCCTATCGCCCCACCACAGTTAAACTTTTTTTAAAGCAGGCTTTTGTGTGGCTCAGGCTATCTTTAAACTTTCTACATAGTTCAGGATGATTGGATTCTTAATTCTTCTGCCTCTGCCTCCCAATTGCTGGATCACAGGCATACAGTTTTTTTGTGGTGCTGGGGCTCAAACTCAGTGCCTTATGCTTGCTAGGTGAGCTCTCGACCAGATATAACTGAGCTATGTCTGCAGCCAGTTGAAATGCTTAAGGTCTTTCTGCGAGTCAAGGTTGTCATAACATCCTCTGCCCTGTACATCTAATTCCAAGTTGCCAGCATGATGGGGTGCCCCTGTAAACCTAGCCCCCCGGGAAAGCAAAGGCCAGGGTTGGAACTACAAGACCCTCTCTCAAGAGCCCCAAATTGCGGGGGCAGGGGGCAGAGTGGAGGTATTAGCTCCGTAATGGAGTTGCTTGCCTTGAATATGCTGGGTTCAATCCCCAGCACGGGTTGTTGATTTTCTCAGTGATTGAGTCCAGGTCTTTAACTTTTGAGGCATGCTCTATGTTGCTCCATCTGGCTTTGAACTTGATATCCTCCTGCCCCAATCTTCCAGCTACTGGGATTACAACTGCATATGCCTAGTTCAGAGTTGCTTTATTTTGTACAGAGTCAATCATGTAGCCAAGGCTGTCCATAGACTCCCAATTCTCCTTCCTGTACTTCCCAGGTGCTGGAATTTTGGGCATGTGTTAACTGGGACCCCAAGCTTTGGCAGGGATTTTTAATGCCTCTAGCAGATGCCTACGCTACCCTCTGCGTTCCTTTCCAACGCCTACCCTGTCACCCTTGCATTCTCTTCGTGGGGAGGGATCACAGATCTGAGAAACCCAGGGGCCAGTAAGTAGGCTGATCCCGAGAACACAGCTGCTTCGATTTCCCCTTCTCCCCATCCGCCGCCAGCTTCCAGCAGCCACCCCCCCCTGCCCCCATCCTCCATGGTGACCACTCCCTGTTTACAGTGTAAGGACACCACGCCATCCCTCAGAAGCGACATCACCAGACCACCTCCCAGCGTCCATTCCCCTCACCGAGCTAGGGACGCCCAGCCTCACCTGCACCCTGTTGCTGCATTCGTGCAACTGGGCCTTAAACCTGACCACATCGGTATCCACGGAAACCAGAGGCTGACAGCTTTCTGAGCCAAGGGTGAGGTGCTCAGGCTCTACGAGCTTCCCGGTGCCAAAAAGGTCTCTATTGACGGTCACCACGAGCTCAGCTTCCAGACACTCCACCTCCACGGATGATGTAGGCGTCACTGGGTTCGCAGTTCCACCGGGCAAGAGCCACTGAGGCAGGGCAGAGCACAGCTCCGTGCCCCCGCACAGCATGAGACAGAGGAAGAGAGGATAGCGGTAGCTCGGCCCCATGGTGCTGCCTGAATTAAGGCTGGGTGCAGAGTAAGCGGCAGACGCTACCCAGGCATCTTATATACCTGGAGGCCCACCCTCCCACCTGAATTCTCTCCATGGCCCTCAGTCTCGGGTGGAGCCCATCAGCAAGCAACTCAACAAACTTCAAGCAAGCCTCAAACCTCACCTGGACCAAGAATTAGGCTCTGGTTCTAGTTTGAAGATACCCCCATGTGATTCCTAGTCAAGGCTTTTGTTTATTTGGTTGGTTTGGGTTTTGTGTTGTTGCTATTTTATTTTATTTGTGGTGGGATTTATTTTGGGGTTTTGGGTTTATTGGTTTGTTTGTTTGTTTTTTCCGAGACAGGATTTCATAGTGTAGCAGCTTTGGCTGTCCTGAAGCTTGCGCCACAGACCAGACTGGCCTTGAACTCAGACATCTGCCTGCCTCTGCCTCCCAAGTGCTGCCTTTGCCACCATACCAGGCTCCTATTCCTGTTTTAATTCTTTTTTTTTCTGTGGAACTGGACACAAAGTTTCCTAAAAGCTATGCAAATAAGCAAAGCCAATGCTCTCCCACGGAGCTGGACCCTCAGGTCCCTCTGGGGGAGTCTAGGCAAGTGCCCTAACCTAGGCTTTAACCTCAGCCTTCTTTTCACTTCTTTGAGACAATCTTAGTAAAGTTGCCTGCACCAGCCTCACCCTGTGACCTGGCAGGCCTGAACCAGCCTCAATCTCCCAAGTAGCTGTGGTGAAAGGCCTGAGCCATGAGGCTGGGTTTTGTACGCACATTAAAGTCTGGTCGGCCATCATTTTTCACCTTCTCACTATTCCCACCCCTTGGTGCTCAGGGCTTGAGGCAATCAAGTCTGGGCTGGGGAAGGGGTGTGGAGGTGGGGCACGACCCTGGAGTGATGCTCTGATTGAAAGATGCAGGGGTTTCTTAGAAACAGCTGGGGGGATTCTTGCCAAATGAAGACTATAAAGGCATTAATTAGGCATCAAGAGAAAATGTATGTGTCTGAGTCAACACTCTTCCCTAAGGGCAAATGCCTCAATTGTGATCAACACCTACAAGTCAAAAAGCAGTTTAAGATCATTCATTTGTATATTTTATTTATCATGATTTTAATTTTATTTATTATTGTTGTTGTTGTTTTGGTTTTTTTCTTTTCTTTTTTTTTGGGGGGGGGTTCGAGACAGGGTTTCTCTGTGGCTTTGGAGCCTGTCCTGGAACTAGCTCTGTAGACCAGGCTGGTCTCGAACTCACAGAGATCCGCCTGCCTCTGCCTCCCGAGTGCTGGGATTAAAGGCCTGCGCCACCGTCGCCTGGCGGTATTTTTCTTTTCAAGATAGGGTTTCTCCATATAGGCCTGGCTGTCCTGGAACTCTCTCCATAGATCAGACTAGTCTTGAACTAAGAGATCCTCCTGTGTCTGCCTCTTGAATTCTGGGGTTAAAGGCATGCACCACCATTACCCACTTGATTTTATTTTTAACGCGGGAAATGCAAAATCCCCCACAACCATCAATTCTGTAGTCCAGTTTCTCAAATCTGGGAACATTTCTGAGGTCAGGACATCTGTAGTATAATGGAGGACACTCCTCCCGAGAAAACCATGTTCCTGGTCATTGTGTTTCCCGTCCAGGTAAATACTGATGTTTGCTTTTTCGGGCAAGGTCTTGCTCTGTAGCCCAGGCTGGTCTTAAACACACGACGATTCCCCTGGCTTAAATTTCCTAGTACCAGGATTACAAGTGTGAGCCACCACACCTAGTGTTATTTTAACTGTTTTTTTTTAAACATTTATTTATTTCGTGTGGATGGAGGGGGTGGACACATGTGCCACAGTTTGGAGATCGGAGAACAAATTCCATGAGTTGGTTCTCTCCTGCCTCATGTCCTCAGGCTCGACAGCAAGTGCCTTTGCCCTAAGCTTCAGCCATTTTGCCAGCCTCAATTCTTCTATTTTATCATTTTCTTTTACTTTAGACAGATTGACCACACTACCTGATGTAGTTTACTTTTTACAGCTGAGGTATTACGTGTCACCAAGTCTGAGCTAATTTTCCCGTCTCAGCCTCCAGATTTTTACCACTCTCTTGGGCTTCAGCATTTATGTTTTTCCCAGTGGATATATTTATATAAATTACTGGGGAGGTGATAGGAATGTAGCCCAGGCTTGCCTCAGAATCAAAATCCACTGCTGACTGTGAGCGCATACAGCTTTAATCACGGCAGTAGGGAGGCAGAGGCAGGTGGATTTCTGCGAGTTTGAGCCAATTCCAGGACAGCTAGAGTTACATGGTGAGATCCTGTCTCAAACAAACAGCAGAATCCTCCTATCTCAGCCTTCTGAGTGCTAGGATTATAGCCACGCTACTGCCCTACCCAGCATTAATTTCATGTTTTATTTTTGTGACACGGGGAGTCAAAACCAGGCGCTTGCACTGACTGAGGATTAAGTAGATCTTGGCACAAAAATCAAGGACAAATTCTTCAGCAGAGTCCATCAAGGGACTGTGCTCAATCCGCTTAATTTTCTGGGAGGGAGACAAGGAAAAATTGAGGCAGAGCCTGCTGTGAGAACCAAGATGGAGCAGTCAGGTGGGCCTATGACTGAAACCCAGGTCCCAGGAGAGGAGGCTAGAAGGACACTGAGGTTGGCCAGGCACAATTCAGGGGGTGTCAGGCTCACATGTTGGACCTGGTGAGCAAAAATATCCAAGTACTGAAACTGACAGATGCTGCGGTCAGCCCTGGGTGGGAGGAGGGACTGGACGTCAATTAGAGTCAAGTGACTACCACACCGGGCCTGACAGTAATTAGTAAAGGACCACTAATTCCTAGGATTAGGGAGGGACTTAACCTAGGGTCCCTGGCCGTGGCGAGCTTGTTGGCCTCGGCTGTGTTTGCTGGTTGTGTTGGAAACAGGAGCAGTGTTCGAGATGGAGGAGCAGAGTCAATCTGTGCTTTGTGCTCATGTCCCCATTCCTCCCTGAACTGGGGCGATCCTCCCTTACAGGTCAGTAGACAAAACGCTGGAGCTGTGTGAGGCTGGGGTGGTGACACAGCCTGAAAACCCAGGATGTAGGAGACTGAGGGAGGAGGCTTGTGGGATTGAAGCCAGCCTTGATGACACAGCAACAGCCAGTCTCACAAAATAAACAGAGGGAGCTGTTGAGAGGACTCCACAGAGTGTCTGCCTCAAGGTCTAAGGATCCGAGTTCAGTCCCCAGAACCCACAGAAAGGTGAGCGAAAGGCTGGAGAGACAGCTCAGTAATTAGGTGTGCTTACTGCCCTTCCATAGGACCCCAGTTCAATTCCCAGCACCTGTACTGGGTGGCTTCTAAACCACCTATAACTCCAGCTACAGGGGATTTGTAGAAGCCTCTCCTGGCTTCCTCGAACACCTCATTTGCACGTGGCATACACTAACACATGCATATACATATTCATAAATAAATCTCTTTTTTTGAGACAGGGTTTTTCTGTGTAGCCTTGGTTATCCTGGAACTCACTCTGTAGACCAGGTTGGCCCTGAACTCTCAAAGATCCATCTTCCTCTGCCTCCTGAGTGCTGGGATTAAAAGCAGATGCCACCACCAAATAAATAAATCTTTAAAAATAAATAAAAGGCAGGAGAGATGGCTTGGTAGTTATACTCTTTGACAGTCTTTTTTTTTTAAATATTTATTTATTTAGTATACAATGTTCTGTCTGTATGCCTACAGACCAGAAGAGGGCGCCAGATCTCATTACAGATGGTTGTGAGCCACCATGTGGTTGCTGGGAATTGAACTCAGGACCTTTGGAAGAGCAGGCAATGCTCTTAACCACTGAGCCATCTCTCCAGCCCTCTTTGACAGTCTTACAGAGGAACTGGGTCCCGTTCCCAGCACCCACATGGCAGCCCACAACTATCTGTAACTCCAGATGGTCAAGAGCTATCATGTGGTTGATGGGAACAGAACCCGAACTCAGGAACTCTAGAAGAGCAGCCAGTGCCCTTAACCTCTGAGCCATATCTCCAGCCCAAGAACTCAGTTTCTATTCCCAAGACCCACATGGAGGCTCACAACTAACTGGAGGGATGAAGAAGGCATTGAATCCCTTGAAACTGGAGTTACAGACAAAGGCACCAGGCACATATGTGATGCTTAAAATATACAAAAATGGGGCTGGAGAGATGGTTCAGTGGTTAAGAGCATTGCCTGCTCTTCCAAAGGTCCTGAGTTCAATTCCCAGCAACCACATGGTGGCTCACAACCATCTGTAAAGAGGTCTGGTGCCCTCTTCCAGCACCAGAATATTGTATATAATGAATAAATAAATAAATAAATATTTAAAAAAAATAAAATAAAATATACAAAAATGGGGCTGGAGAACTGGCTCAGTGGTTAAGAGCACTGCCTACTCTCCCAGAGGTCCTGAGTTCAATTCCCAGCAACCACATAGTGGCTCAACCCTCTGGAATGAGATCTGGGACCCTCTTCTGGTGCAGGTATACATGCAGACAGAACACTGTATATTACATAATAAGAAAATAAATCTTTAAAAATAAGAAAGAAATATATGCCAGTAAAACATTCATACACATAGTGGAAGCATTTTAAATTATTCTAACAAAATGAATAAATTATCAATCAAAAAATTTTAAAGGCAGGGGCGAAGGTTGCTACTCAGTGGTAGAGCTCCTGTCTAGAATTCCCCAGTGAAGGACTTTATGAGAGTCACCCTCATGGTGTCTCTTCACAGCAATAGGAACCCTAAGACACCAGGGAAGCATTCTGCTACTAAACTACTGCTCCAGCCCAAGCCACCTATTCGAGCTCCTCCCTTCAGTGTGACCCTCCACCAGCGGCTGTATTGGAGCATCTTCCTCTAGGTCTATGCCTAATAACTGCAGTCAGCAAGCAAACATTCATTTGACCATTAAAGCTGATTGACATTTCAGGTAGCTAGAAAAGACAAAGTGCTGCTTGTCCTGGTGGTGCAAGCCTAGAGTTCTTGAAGTGGGAGATAAAAACAAAAGGATAGGAAACTCAAGGTTGTCCTCAGTTGTGCAAGATCAAGGCCAGCTGGGCTAAAGTTTCTATCGCAAACAAAAAAAAAAAAAGGAAAGGCTGCCTTTATATGAGACTAGGAATGCAGCTCCACAGGAGAGCACTTGCTTAGCCTGTGTAAGGCACTGGATTCAACCCTCAGTCTTGTAAAACTTTAAGACAATTCTGAAGCCATTTCTGACAATTCTGAATTCTTTCAGCCTCTGTACCATTGTGCTTCCCCTCCTCCCCTGGAACCAAGGACCTAACAGCTACACATGTGCGTACGTTTTTCAGAAATTGGGGCAAGATAACCTTTAAGATGTTGATTCAGTTCCTGAACAGTTACCCATACACATGTGCTTTGATTCAGTCCCCTGGGAAATGGGGTCAAAATGACCTCTTACCTCATCTGATCTGGCAACAGCTCTACAGCCAATTATTGGTAAAAGCCCTTTCGAATAAGCCAATCATAATAGAGTGAAAGAACAAACCCCTTGCTTCTGTGGCCTTCTCCTTTAAAAGTAGCCTGTACCAGCTATTCGAGGTCTCTCGGCTTCCCGAATGCTGAGGGACCCTGTCATGACAGAATTAATAAAATCCTCATGCTTTTGCATCAGCAATGGTGTGAGGGGTGGTCTCTAGGGGCAATTCCTCCTCCATATTTGGACTGTAGACTCCGACAGTCTCACAAAAGTAAAGACTGGGCAAGGTGGGTAGTGAGTTGGCTAGAGTGGAGGAAGCAGCTCTTCTTGCTGGAGGTGGAAGAGAGGAGTAAAAACTGACTAGGGAGAGTAAAAACCCAAGAGATGCCGAGACAGCTCTTCCTGCTTCCTGAGACAAAAGGAAATCCCAGCTACCCCTTCTGAGGCCATCAACTACCAAAGGATCTCCTCTCAGAACCGACGACTCTACATTCCCAAAATGCTACTCCACACACCTTGGTGACCACCCAGAACTACACTTATTTTGACAACCTAATTGGGGCATATTTTTTTTCTGCTTTGACCTTACTAGCTACAGGGTTTTCTTTGATGTGCGTGTATCTGAGTATATGGCACATGTGCACAGGTGTCTATGGAGGCCAGAGGAGGACATCAGCTCTGGACCTGAAAGTTCAAGTGGATCCCAGCAACTATACTGTGAGCCACCTGATGTGGGTGATGAATCTGAAATCAGGGCCTACGGAAAAACAAGTGCTCCTACCTATTTCTCTAGCCTCTGTAGATTCATGTGTACCAATGTTTTGATTCCACATTTAAGTATGTGCATGTGTGTGCATTCCTGCTACCCATAGGGGTCAGAAGGGCTTATCAGATCCCCTGCAACTGGAGCTATAGATGGTTGAGAAAACGGTGGGAATTGGGAATTGAGCCCCTAGTCTTCTACAAGAGCAACAAGCGCTCTTTATTGCTGAGGCATTTTTGGGGTTTGGTTGTTGTTGTTTTGAAAACAAAGTCTTGGGACTGGAGAGATGGCTCAGTGGTTAAGAGCACTGGCTGCTCTTCCAGAGGACCCGGGTTCAAGTCCCAGCACCCACTTAGCCTGTCATACATGTCTGTAACTCCAGTTCCATGTGATACAACACCTTTACACAGACATACATGCAG